AGATAAAAATCTTTCCTTATTAGTCCAAAATCGATACATTACTTTAGTCAGTATCTTTCCTTTCGACAAGTATTGTTGAAAGTGGCTTTAGCTGTTGCCACAAAATTGAACATTGAACAATTACTTTCTGTCTATTCTTCGTAATATTGAAGCGACCACAGGAAATATTACAACAAAAGCTTAAGTCCGATATAGCGTTACAGGTTTTTGTTCTGTATCAACTAAGGGTTTAATGGCGGAAGAAAGGAAGCGGTTTATTCAACCCGAGAGATCAAGTTAGTTAGTCACTGACAGAGTTAGATATACCTACTGAATTATAGAAATCGACGAAATACATGCTAATGGTGTATTGGAAAATGAAGAAGTTGTTGTTTGTTACATTTATAGTATATATTGTTAAAAATTATCATCTTTCATTACATAAAACAAAATATGCTAGTAGAGATAAGAATAGATGCCTGCAGAAAACTTTCTATTTGCTGTCAAAAAAATATTTTGAAAATGTAATATATAGACAACGGAGAATATTTACATTTGTCTTTTAGATCTATCGAACTGTGAGGATGTATGGCCATTTAAGGCCTTGTTGTTGCTGATGGATACCTCACTGAATAACGCGTGAGGACCTCAAAATATATCCAGTGCGATTTGGGTCTATCATATGGTCAACGATACAGACCCGATAGCACGGCACATGGCAGTCTGTGTTCTCAGTTTTATAAGAAACACAAACTACCCCGAGTAGGGATAGATGCACACAGCACGGACCTTCGTCGGAGTCGCTCCTCTGATGGAGTATCCCGACTCTCCTAATTCTGTTAATTTCGTAAATGACACCTCTCCTTACAAATGGCGGCTAACATTGGTTTTTTTTAAATCACCCATTAAGTTTATAGAATGAAATACCTACATGTCAGTATACACAGTAAACACTGGTGAATTCCATCTATCTTTTGGTTCTCAATACAAATACATGCAAATAAATAATTTGTATAAAGAATTGATTTGCAAACGAAATATGGTGCCCGTGAACATGAAGTGTTTCACATTGAACACTCACATTATTTGGTTAACCAGGCATTGCAGTGCTAGTTTGTCATCTTCAATGTTAACGATAATTGAATCCGTCCTGACAGTATTTATATGTAGTTCAAAGACTGGTTTAAAATGCATTAATTATTTGAATAGTTTCTATAAGCAGTACTAGGTCTGATATATTACACGGCTGAGTACATGTCCCTGTGATTATACATTGAATACTACCGAGTGTTGTTACTATTGTGGTGTGTGGGAACTGGTCTCACAAATCATTTGTATATCTGTGTTTACATTAACCATTAACATGGTAAGGGTTTTATAATTCATTCGTTCCAATTCATACATGGAGTAATTTCCTTTATACCTTGTACAAATAGGAAATAAATACTAAAACCTATCGTGTTGTGATATGTTATTATTTTATATATCGTCAAACATACCCTTGGCATGCAAGAAAAATGTGTTGAGTAGTTGTTATTCCGGCTGGGAGAATACCTCATACAATCACACTACAGCGTCAATCGTGCTATAACGATGAACTAATTTGTGATATTAAAAATATTTTATATCCAGTTTACATTTCGCCTTTTAATTATAATACAATATAAAAAGACATATTAACACAGGATGCAAAGGAATAGCATGGAAAGTAGAATTACAGACATTATTATAAAAGCACCCGGGCGATAATACGCATGGCAAAGGTGATGAAGAGAAAAGTAGGGCAACAGGGAATGTTATGTTACACCACTCAATACTCAATTTCAAAATAAAAGCGTAAAGACAAAAAAGGCACAATATAGAGGGTTATCATGATCTTCCACCATGTGTTCACCGAGATTTCTAGAAGAATGAAGTAATATTTAAAAAACAGTTAAGAAGACACTTCTTAATCTTAGTATAATAAACATCATCCAGGATACTACTCCAAATTGTTTTTGTTTTGTCTTTGTCTTCTTGTATATGTATTTTTGCATGGGTTGCCGCGCAATCGTCTTTTTTGGGTCAAATTTTTCAAGTTTCATCGATTCTGGACATCAATTAAGATTCTGTTCTCATATCAGTGTTCTTATAATGCTTTCATGCAAATTGATACGTTTTGTCGGAACTCGTATCTATCTGGAAGCTATGTATTCAGGATATACGCCGTGTTATGGGACTGCGGATACAGACAACACATTGAAGGCTAATAATGACCCAACAGTCGCTGTATATATTATATTCTAGAGTGGTTTGATCAATATATCGCTCTTTCCGAATACTCAAAGGATTTTAGTCAAGGTATTGTCAAGTCGCGGTCTAAAAACCCGATGTCGATTGATTCCGCTTCAGGTGTGTTTGCCGTACATCGATCTGCGATACAGCTACATATCTACCACCGAGGGCATTTCTATCTAAAATCTTCTTACACGTCACTTATCACACAAACTGTGTAAAATAAGCCAAAAAACAATCGTATGTAAAGCAATGGCGCCAGCTTTATATTGCTTTATCAAAGCAATTTTGTGGTTAAATAATATGCTTGTTATGTTATATCAAATCCAAGAAATATATTTACTAAATTTAGTTTTATCAAAGGTCTCCTGAGGTTTGATATTCATTTGTTTATCTAATAGATATAAATACATTATGTACATATACCTATATATGTAAGGTTCTCTGTGACAGTTCAAGTCCTGTGTCGTCGATGCATTAACGATATTGCATGATCGGTATATTGGCCAGGTATGAATCGATAGCTCTGAATAACGGCACAACACCTCAGTACAGAACGACAATACACTTTGGAGTACGTCCCCTCCTCGTATCAAACATCGGTCACCTGAAACAATGAGCAGGTCATCAAACACGACACTAAAACCAGATACCTCTCTTTAAATTTGTCATGCGGAAAGGTTCATTGTGGAAATAGAAGGATTCGTCGTGTTTCTTGTCAGACAAATATATATCAGCAGCCATTTTGAATTGGGATAAATTTGTCAAAGATAAACAAATACCTGGTTGCCGACTGGTTGGATATTTCACCTGTCCTCAGTAGTGTGTATACGGCTGCTGAAACACAACATATCATGGCGGTAAGTATATAACATGTACATTCATGATTTCTAATTATAGCTATATAAATCATTGTAAATTTACCAAACATAACTAAACCGTACAGATCTCAACGAAGGCTGTTTGTTTTTTACAGTCATCAACTTAACTATTTGTCAATTTCTTTCAATGACCATTTTATCGTGTAGATACAACATTGCATGTCATATGTGTATATACTAGTACAATCGACAGACATATATATGGCTTACTCTAGAAGTAATTTAAACACAGTTGTTATTTTTATTATCAGTCAAATTCTATCTTGCAAAATTTATTATTACAAAAGCTGTTGTACATGAATATGAATCTTTCATTTCTACGTTTATTTCTGATGGCAAGAAGATAGTTCTATGAATGGGAATGATTATCAATAGATAGGACATTGGAAATTTTAAACATATGATTAAGTTTTTATTTACTGTCAAAACGTTTCTTACTTAAATGAGAATTATATTCAATCCAACTTATTGATTCAGACTTTACAGTGAATAATGTATGTAAGTTGGAAGGCAATTATATTAATGTATATGCTTTTACACATATAGATTTTACTTTGTACATTTAAACCAGGGTTGCAAAAATCGTTTTAAAAATCAATAGTTTCAGGAGTCCACTTATAACCATACCGTATTTCAGGACATTCTTCTTTATCTCTCCGTAAAGTATTGTGTACCTGGCAGAGGATGTAAGTAATGATATGTAAACCATATAAAAGTGTAGGTAATCACCTTTCATCAAATGATGAGGACGATGTTGTTTACCATTACAGCTTACAGCAGAACAGCAAAAGGTATTTTATCCAGCATTGTTTGTTTGTTGGAGACAACACATCAAATCATGAGACATTTCCACTCTAAACCACCATCTCATTATTTCACATGGATGCAAACTTTATCATTGTGTTGTGTGTTTTCTTTTTTGAAGATACAGCATGTTTTTTTTTTCAATCGCCTCAGAACCTAGATTATTTAATACAGTCTGGAGGAAGATAACGTAGAGAATTACCGCGGAAATGATTTTAAATTATTCAACCACAGACGTCAGTCATTATGTCAATAAAACTATTAATGATATCGGTGGGGAAATCACTGCAACACTTAAAGAGATGACGTTACAAATTATGACAAATATGAAAGATGTCAATCAATCAATCCATCAATCGATCGATCAATCAATCAATTAGTAAGTCAGCTTTTGGTCTATGGACAAGTGAATCGGTCTATGTTGTCATGTATTATTACATATATATATCTAATGAAAAGTAGTTTTTTAACAAAATGTTTGTCTGTAGTCAGTTAATTTGTTATGTTTTTGAAGATGCAGTGCAAAACGTGTTTTTTTCAATTAGCGTTCAAATGAGAATGTCGAAATGGTGTAATAACATCGGTCGTGTGTGTATTCATGTATATTTTACGTTTTTCGTTTGCTTGAGTGAAACGGGTGTAGTGAATACAAATGTACTTTTCGTTAGGTCATGCATAAACTTCACCAAGTTACAAATACTTTTGTTTCTAAATTACATTAGCTATAAGCTTTAAAGATGAGATCCACGGATGTGGGTTATATCAACACTATTTATACAACTGATACATGTTGTTTGAGCAAGTAATTATCTTATCAATTAAATGTTTGCTAATTTCTATGTGTTTGCATTCTGTGTACTTGTATAATAATAATCTATTTAGGGAAGTGGTATGTTTTGAATTAAAGATTACCAACACTTGAAATGCATTCTTTGAACGTTTCCAATTATAATCAACACACTGATAGCTGTTCATGATATGTTTATGCCAAGTAATTGTCATTTATAAATAACATTTATAACCTATTATCTGCAGCTTATAGATGAGACCTTTGACGGACTTGCGGAGGAGCAGATTGAGGGTGAGTTAGAACAAATAAAAAAAATCAGAAATGTTTTATTCATGAGAAATACTCCAAAAGATATCTCATTGTATTTACGGTATTTAAGACTTTTCATCTGCTGTACAATACTAGATTTAGTTGTTTTGATTCATTATATTGTATGTAACGGTTTAATCTTGGCTTAATGTTGCTAATTGGTTACAGCGAACCTAGATGCCATATATCTCTCGTTACTAAGTCAAATCCTTTTATGCTATGCCCTTGTGAAAACTTGATATGACAGAATTAAAAACAAAAATATGATACGCAGATATTGTATTGATATACCAAGTTGTTAAACTTTGATACCAAACCCCTAATACCCAAAGTTCACTTTTGATATTCACCATAAAAATTGCAATACATCTTTATGATACTGACTTCATACTTTCGGTAAATCCTCATTTTACACCAAACCTTTTACACCAGACTACAGTGTTTTGTGCCGAAATTACAACACTTTGAATTGAATATTTAGTACACAAAGTTTATATAGCCGAAGGGTTTTTTTTCACTTGAATCTTTCTTCAGTTGTTAGTGGTTATCTTTATACATGTGTATGATATATATCTACATATTAAACGACTCTTTGACTCAGGTCTAGTAGGATTTTGATCACTGAAAACTTATCATGATAATATCTGAAAAATTTTCCCCTATGAGAATAGTAAGATATAGAGTTCTCGTGGTCTTCCTCGTCTACTGAAGAAATATTACGAGGCTGGTAAAAAATTCCCTATGCATATGAATTCTTTAAAGTATAATCCATTGATACAGAAGCACATGGTGAACAATAGAACCACAGAACACATTGTAATCTCACAGATAAAAAGGCGTCCGTTAATTATTGTTAGAAAAATGCAGTAATGGATGTTTGTGTTAACGACTGCCATCCTTAGGGATGGTTATAAATTGATTAACTCTTCTTTGTACTTACTGGGTAATGTTATTTGTCTGGAAAGTCATAACCATACTGTTGGTATTCAAATATATTCTGCACCAGTGTGTAACGATGATGGTATGGATACTGGTGCAATATATTCCGAACACTTCTCTCTCGCCGATAAGCGCTATACAGTATTTCAATTTCATATCATATTTCTGATAAAAGTTACAAATATAATTGATATGTATCTTGTCGAAATGTTTGGCTTTGAAATTGATATTTTTCTAATATTTGAACGATTGATGTTACGACAATGATAATATCGATAGCGCAGGGTTTGTTACTGGGGATATATATCTCCACTGATAGTGACATATTCAAATTGTAAAGTTTTTCTTCTGAGTGTTCCTCTTTTTAAACAAATTTGCGTAACACAGTCACATTACTTTCTTTCTTTCTTTTCCTTTTATCCTTTCCTTCTTTCTCTCCTTATATTTCATATATCATGATTAGGTTAAACTTGTTCTCATTTGAGAACGTGACATTACTTACTTAGATTACAAAGATTTACATGGCGGGTGTCATCGGTGAAGCAGAAGACGCATTTGGCAATATATTAATTCAAGTTTAATTTTAAAGACATGAAATTCAAATGCGCAATTGACAACTATTACGCAAGGTAGCCTTGTTAGAGAGCTTTTAGGAAGCGACATGAATCACCCCGTTACATAATCACTTCTAATGACTGAAAGTTATTATAAATTAATATTACCCATGCTCTATTTAGAATATTTACGTTGAAATGACAGACTTCTTTAAATGTCTTTTGAACTGTTAAAATGGTATTCGTTCTACTTCCCTAGTTTGATTATTAACATATAAGTTACAAAGCTTGACCTTGATAAGATCATGTTTACGACTGTTGTCATTAAGGATTCTCTCACACAGTATAATAGGTGTTGTTTATCTTTCGGACACAGATCAGGTCATGTGACCGATATGCCATGGGTTGATTTAACGGCTACTGGATATTGGTAACACAATGAAAAGGCACAACAACTTAGACTGTTTTGGTGCGAGATTTAGGCATGCCTGCTGAAATTGTTTCACAATACTACAGTTCAGATTAGGTGGAAAGATGGCGCAAGTTTAAGTGTAGGATAACGGCATTGCTGTTCAACTTTCACTACAGCAAACCTTAATGGTAGATTGCATGTATAGACATATACAGTTAAACATCGTTGTCTTGAACTCTTAAAACGCAAAGACCCCGTTTATTTGAAGAATTTTGCCTATTCCAACCGCTTTTTGCCAAACATTAGATCTCACTTAACTTGAATAATCGAATATATGGAAGTTTTTCAACGGTCTCACCGACTTCGAAATAACAAAGTTCGGTTGTATATTAAAAATATAGATAGCTGATTTCTGGGTCTAGATATCTGAATGAAACATCAATAATTAGCTGTATTGTTTGGCCTCGATTATTATCCACTCTTTATGGTTTGACTAATGATGTTTCGTAGTCGACATTCTATATATATAGACAATATCTTTGATTTGTAGAGTACCGGATGGCGTTTCGTGTGTTCGATAAGGACGGAGATGGAACTGTATCTGCTACTGAATTGGGCACTGTAATGAGGTCCCTTGGGGAGAATCCAACAGAAGAGGAGCTGGAGGCACTGGTTCTAGAGGTTGACACTGATGGTAAAGGATTGTCTATTTCAATGTTGAGGAGTCCTGAAACGAATGTACGGGTCACCCAGATTAATGAGTCCAGGCTATGCTGTGATCAGTGTTATACTATCTGGTATGCTTTCGTCAGTTTATGGACGAAGGCATGTCTGCAATATAACATAGTACTATAGAGCATAGATGGAGATGATCACGTGTGGCTATAGACCGAATGCATGATATAAAACATTTAGTGTTTTAATGGCATAACCACATGACTGCTCAAGGACAGAGAGTGGTGTATAAAACATGTACATACATTCATCGTAAAGCCTACACGGAAGACACCAAAATAATCTTTTTTTTCTATATTAATTTCAAGAGGTTTTCTTCATGGATAAGAGAGATTTTACTCTTTGAATAAAGATTTGCGTCAATAGAATATTTAATGATAAATTATATTTTGTGGCGTTATAAATGAATAAAAAATAATCAATGTGGTTCCATCCTTTTCAGCTTCTGCTTCATTATTTTTCGTGATATCATTACAGTTACATACGGAATTATGAACAAGTCTATGATTCGACTTTTGCCAATAAAATATAATATAATAGTCCATTATGTTTTTCATTATCACACATACAGGTAATGGAACTATTGAGTTCGACGAATTTGTAAGGATGATGAAGAAGAAAGATGCAAACAAAGGGAGTCCGGAGGAAATATTCGAGGCGTTCCGAGTATTTGACCGCGAGGACAGGGGTTACATCACCGTTGATGAGCTACGTCACATTATGACAAATCTCGGTGACAAGCTCCCAGATGAAGAGGTTGATGAAATGATACAGCTTGCTGATATCGATGGTGACGGAACTGTTGAATACGAAGGTAAACAGATATAGACATCCCAATACTTTATGTATATATCGTATCTATTATATGTATTCATTAATCGGTGTTCAAAGATGTCGTTTACGCGAATGTTTATCATTGTGTTTATAAGTACAGAATATATACCCTGGTATAGATATGAATATTGCAAGAGCATCGTAAGTCGAATAAAGAAACTTGAATATGGAATCCCATCAAATATTTGACGAGCAAATATTGCTCCAACGTATTTTTAGATAAGAATGTGGATAATAGATACAGCGAAAATAAATTCAATGAGAAAAGTTATTTCACGAGTTTCGCGAAAATTACAACCTTTCTTGGAACGTTTGTTTTAAAACGCGGGAATATGAAGCATCCAAAAACATTTAACATTTGACAAAAAGATATACCTTGGACTGCATATGGTATATCGCATTTGTCATGATGTATATGACCATTTTGTCATAATTCTGTTTTATTCATTTCAGAATTTGTAAAAATGTTGGCCAATCCAGAAGGTGTGAAAATTGACGGCGAACAGCAGATAGAACAAGTGGCCTCATAGAGGAGCAATGTACTGTGTCATCAGAGAATGACATGGATGTAAGATAAATACAAAGTGCAAACTATTACTTCTATACCTCGGTGTTCAAATCAGCACAAATCATGGCTGCCTTAGCGTTGATATGCCACGTTTAATGGTATTTTAGTTATCAGACGGTCATATCAGGTAGCTTACTATTACAGATCAGATAGCTTGCTATTACATATCAGATAGCTTACTATTACAGATCAGATAGCTTGCTATTACATATCAGATAGCTTACTATTACAGATCAGATAGCTTGCTATTACATATCAGAAAGCTTATTATTACATATCAGATAGCTTACAATCACACCTCAGATAGCTTATTATTACATATCAGATAGCTTGCTATTACATATCAGAAAGCTTATTATTACATATCAGATAGCTTACAATCACACCTCAGATAGCTTATTATTACATATCAGATAGCTTGCTATTACATATCAGAAAGCTTATTATTACATATCTGATAGCTTACAATCACACCTCAGATAGCTTATTATTACAGATCAGCTTTATTATTATTATTACATATCAGATAGCTTACAATCACACCTCAGATAGCTTATTATTACAGATCAGATAGCTTACAATCACACCTCAGAAAGCTTATTATTACATATCAGATAGCTTACAATCACACCTCAGATAGCTTATTATTACAGATCAGATAGCTTGCTATTACATATCAGAAAGCTTATTATTACATATCAGATAGCTTACAATCACACCTCAGATAGCTTATTATTACATATCAGATAGCTTACAATCACACCTCAGATAGCTTATTATTACATATCAGATAGCTTACAATCACACCTCAGATAGCTTATTATTATATATCAGATAGCTTACAATCACACCTCAGATAGCTTATTATTACATATCAGATAGCTTACAATCACACCTCAGATAGCTTATTATTACATATCAGATAGCTTACAATCACACCTCAGATAGCTTATTATTACATATCAGATAGCTTACAATCACACCTCAGATAGCTTATTATTACATATCAGATAGCTTACAATCACACCTCAGATAGCTTATTATTACATATCAGATAGCTTACAATCACACCTCAGATAGCTTATTATTACATATCAGATAGCTTACAATCACACCTCAGATAGCTTATTATTACATATCGAAAAACTTACTATCACAGATCATAATGCTTGCTATTACATATCAGATAGCTTACTGTCACATATCAGATAGCCTACTCTCACAGATCAGATAGTTTACTGTCACATATCAGATAGCTTACTGTCACATATCAGATAGCTTACTGTCACATATCAGATAGCCTACTCTCACAGATCAGAATGCTTGCTATTACATATCAGATAGCTTACTGTCACATATCAGATAGCCTACTCTCACAGATCAGAATGCTTGCTATTACATATCAGAAAGCTTAATATCACATGCACTCTGATTTCCATCCATTGCCGTCTTGATTTCTAACCATGTAAACGGGTGTTCATACTATCATGAATACAAACACTGAACATGTGGTGTGGTTATAAAGGTAATTTTTTTCAACGTGACACGTAGAGGTCTTTTCAAAATTGCGTTGTGAAAAGCTTTAAGCAAATCGTTTAGGTGACGTTGACTATTGGAATGGTTATCGTTTATATTGATTATGGACAATGCACACAAAAGATCAGTGGTTGTCATGAAAAAGTTTAATTGATTAATGTTGACTACATTCTAGTATTTGAATTCCTGATTTTATTATTAGTTATAGCCGTAGCGTGGCCTGTTTAAATATTAACAAGATTACGCTTCATTAAATACCAATGTAAGCTACCACGAGGTGTATACTGGTTTCTGTTTGACGATCGGAATGATATCGTTCAACCAATAAGTCAGTCAACAAAAGGAAACCACACAATGAAGACAATAAATACCAATTTTTTCTTTTTTTTTTATTATTATTTTTTTTTTTTTCATTTTGGCCAATAATACAATAGGTATCCTTTGTCATATAACTTATTAGGACATAGACGTTTTCTTGGCAGAACGAATGCTATACCACACAATCACTCGTTTCATCGTTATCAGCCTCGTTGTAATATCATCGCCTATTCAGCAAGATTTTCGGTGCATGAACATTACATCAAATATTCCTCAGAGTTCTTGGTTGCGATAACATCCAAAAGATTTGTTACTGAGAAATAGGAAACGTCGGTGTCAAACATCAAGGTCTGATGTAATGTATACAAAATAGTTACAAATATAGTTATCAGAGATAAAACTTTTTGTCTCTCAATAACAGTTAACAGTAATGTGCATAAAGAATAAAAATGTCTTCTTGAGAATAGATGATAAAAAACTCAAGCGTGATTGGTCGCTAACAAGTACACATATGTCTATCTGATATGTGGACAGGCAATAAGTGGTTAAACACACTGGATACAGGTCTTGGCTTATACACAGGAATTTTCTGGAGATTTTGATGGGAGTGGAGGAGGGGAGCAGGTGGGGGAGTGGTGTGCACTGTTATAGGGTGTGAAGTGTATCTTGTAACGGTCGCCGAAAAGTAATTTATTGGTGTGGTTGCTATAAAGAGGGCTGACTGCTTCTTAAGATGAAGGTGTGACTTTAGTCGCAATGGAGGGGGTGTACTATAGAAGTGTATAACACTTTGACACACTCTGACATATACCACAACAGGGTGGATTTACTTAAAACATATCTATACGTGGCCGCTAGGAGGGGGACTTTTCAAAAAGTAATATCTGGTGGTGGCCGCTACAGAGGGTTTTAGAAGAATTGGATTAATGGGTCAAGGAGCGAGGCTGTGGTGTGGGCGGTGGGGTTTGGGAGGGGCTTGCTACAATAATGGAAACTGTTTCAAGAGCTTTGTACACATCAACCTGTGGTCAGAGCATGGTATCTTGTCGCCTGTTTGGATTTTTTTTAATCTAATTGTTGTATTGTATGTAAAAATCTTTATGAAAAATCGAGAATTTTGTTCACAAAAACATAACCGCAAGACTGAAGTTTTCATGCAACTATTACATCATCTTTTAAATCTATATGCGGTTTTGTTTAAGGATTTAAACGAAAACATAAAGAAGACTAAAAATAAAATAAAATGCCTGGTATTTATTTTATGCTCTATTTGAAATACATACGCTGAAACGATCTCAACTTTATTATAGATGTGTATCAATGGTGTCATGAATTCTATGTTTTGATGGATTTTTTTCTCATTAACCAATGTACGTTTAGAGGTCTAAGTCATACATTATTTATTTCATAACTAACAAAGGAGTATATAAAAGCCAACACACGGTTATTGGTGCGTATTCAGTTTAATAATTTTAACATGATCATCCAAATTATTAGGTAAATATCATTATTTTGTTTGACAAATTGAATTGCTTAATGCTTACAAAAGACATAAAGTCATAAGAACCGACTTGAAAATTCTATTTATTGACAATATCGTGTATTGACAGATATTGACATCTTTCAGTAGATTTAGCACTTGTGAAAATATTTAATTAATGTTTGCTACATGGCAGTCGTTCGTTTTTATTACTAAAGACATATATGATCGTGTTGGCGATAGACATGTATTCTTGTTTCTGGTTGTTATCAATGGAATCGTTGTTTTGATATATCCTGTTGTTGTTAAAGTTCACTCTTTAATTTGCATACGTATTATGTACATAGTTGAACTTGAATAAAATTTGTCATATACCCACTAAGAGTTTGTACTAGTGTTTGTGGTAACGAAACACTATGTGTCTTTTATTCTTGTATTCAGAAAGACAAAATATTACAGTATTAAATCTGTCGCATACTTGCGAAAAGAAAAAGAAATCCAAGAAAGAGAAATGCGTATTATTTGTATGTAATTTCATACATTTACATGAAAATGTCCATTATACTGTTTTACAATGAATAAAATTCGTAGTTGATAAATTTAGAACGTATTCAGTATACTAGCATTCTGTCTCTAGTGGTTAACTTTCATGTAAAAATACGTGTTAATTGTAAAATAGTCTGTAGTTTCCCTGTTCTGAAGTTATTTCTTATCTACATAGAAGAACTCCGTTTGGATGGAAGCATTCTGTGACAATGTAAAGGAGGAGTTACGGAAAACCACTGCTGATAGAGCATCTCATAACGCCAAAAATATATTTTAGTTTTAAAGGATTCTTGAAAGGGGTAAGAAATGAAAATCAAACAAGACAGGTCTATGACTTTTCCATCGTTAGGTTATTTATGAAATTCTGATACTGGACAATGAACGATTAACATTGCATATCTTGGTGTATAGTGTAATAATCTTATGTTGTAAAACATGCAATATGTGTGAGAGAGCACACAACCGTAAAAGTGATACTAATAAAATATCGATCAAGGTTACATTTTGATGAAAACATTTTTTACGATATTAC